CCCGGCGGCCGCAGGCGGGAGCCCAGGGACTCGGGCTAAAATTTACTCCGAAAGCAGCAGCTTTGCAAACATATTTCATCCTTTCAGCTTTTTTTTTTTTTTTTTAAACCTACGCTCAGGAGACCTATTTATGCTGCGGGATTAAGCCTGTACAAAAAGCTTTAGGGACACTTACTTAAATTACTCCTCCATTAAGTCAATTAAAATACAGCAATTTAGCCTAAGCCAACGGGGAACCGTGCAGAAAAGCTGAGGCTGTTTTAACTAAAGCCGTACGATCAGCTTGTAAGTGAGCACTGGACTGCAGTAACAAAGCAGGTGCTGCACTAATCCCTGTCTTTCTGGGTCTCTGAGAACAAAGGCACTTTAAAAAAAAAAAAACCAAACCCTCCACCTTTCCCCAGCTGTAGCAACATGACTGTCAATGCTCATTTAGCCATATAAATGTAACTTATCCTCTTTTAACTTAATTGGGAAAAAAAAACTATAGAAAAGCTTCATCATAAGGAAGACTATAGTCACAAAAAGGCCCTTTCAGCCACTACCCACTGAATCTTCAGTCTGTAGCCAAAATGAGTAAATCCAACTTGTTTTTTAAAATAATACTCACATTAAGTTTCTGACTGCTAGGTAGTTTCTACAACCTGGATGCCGTTCAGCTGATAAACACTAGCAGTATAATAAGCAACAAAGCACAACTGGACAACCTTTCTCCTTTGCTCTCCTCCCAAAATATTTAAAAGTGTAACTACAGTCATAAAACAATCTCTACACTTATTTTTGCATGTTTAAACAAAGCAAGCAAGTTTTCTATAGCACCACATTCTACAAGGCATGCTAATATGTATTTCAACCAATTAACATTGGAAATGAAATTAATTTGATGATGTGGGGCTTATTTTTCACATTTCGAGAAAAATTCTGTTGCGTAATTACACACTTTCAGCTGCAGGAAAAAAATAAAACAGACTTTCCATACATGTGGAGAAATACATTTTATTTAAATAATTTCTGATCTGGGTCTTCTTGTACAAAAATAAATTCTTCAAGAGGGGTTTGATGATTTGTTGGCCAACAGCTCCTCTCACATGTGTAAACTATAACAGTTCCAAATTCCACTGATAGATCTAAAAACAAAACAATAAAGATATGTATTAGAAAAAAGATACAGGTAGGGGGCTATTACTTATTACTGTCTTTGCATTTATGTACAGACTTGTACAACTTCATTACCCAATTGGTCACTTACATAAAATTAAGTTGGGTCATTTTGGGGGGTTGTTTTAGTTCAAACATCTGCATAGTGACTCAGGCAGGCTGCTTGGCCTGGGCTGAAAGAATTAAGTAGCACTACTGTTAGCTATCCTAATCAGTACTCTCAGTGATCTGATGCAAAAAGTACAAAATGCAAGTAAGACCACTGTAAACCTGATCGTAAATGATTGCCAAAGCACTTGAAAAGAGCATTCAGTATAACTGAGCAAAATTGGTAGTAATCTGAAGGACAGCGGTGGTCTCTCTCACCCACGGTTTCAAGAAATGTCAAAAAACCAAAACCACTTTCAATTTGAAAAACTGCAAAAAATATACATATTTCTCTCTATCTGGAGCCAGATTACTTCTGAAAAAATTGTATTCAAGCTACTCCCACTCCTCATGTGGAAGGTTGGTTTCAAAAGAGTATAGAAGACCAGTACCATAAACTGTATTTCCATAAACACAGCATGTCAGTTTTCTTTCATCAGCTTCAACTTTTGCCAATTCAGAAAGTATTTTTCATATTTAGTCTCCCACGTATGTGTCATTTTCTAATTTCAAAGTTTTTAAAAGCATGCTGATTGAGAATTTTCAAAGAGCTTCTCATGTGTTTGCAATCTTATCTGACCATATTTATTAGTTTCCAAGGCCTCATTTAAGTGGTAATAAGGATAACTACTCCCAAGGCCATGGAATTGTCTTCTTATTAAAGTTCACTAGAGAGCAAATGAACGTGCAACGGAAGAGTTTCCATAAAATCAAGATGTATCTTTTGTTTAGCGATATCTACAATAGAAACATAGTGACTCCTATGTAAGATAATCACTGCGCTTAAGCAGAGCAGTGCATACAGTTAAGAAGTAACAGTCCAATCTGCAGTCCACTAAATGTTACCAAGAGGCTGATGGTTTCTAGTATTCAACCAAGTTAACAAAAGTCCACACCTGTATCACTCTGGAGCATGCTGACCAGTGCCGGCATAAGTTGAAATTCAAATACTCTATTACTTCCGCAGTTACTGCAGGCTGGAATACCTTTGTTAATGTTGGCTGGAGGACATGTTATGAATAAAGGCTGCCCTCCCCAGGAATATCTAGGAGAAGCAAGTTAAAAAAAAAAAAAACAATATATATACATATTCTGTATCTAAATTTCACAGGAAAACATACATGTTGGTGCTAGCATTCAAGATCTCTGAAACCTCAGAACGTGCTTGAAGTACAAAACATTGTTAGGAGCCAGAATCACTGCCCAAGTTTCAGGTGAGTCATTCAACAAGATTAAAGATAGGAAAAGGAAATACTTGGAAGGTCAACACTTGGAAAGTCTTATAGAAAGAGCTGGATTTAAAAAGAAACAAATGCTTTGAACTGACACCTCCAAAATACCCTGTACCTGACTCGCATTTAACTAAACGAACTACATTTTCCTGGAAACAGAATCCTCATCACTGGCAGCTAAGGATATCCAGCACAGAACGGGCCTCACCACCACTGTATGTACACCACAAAAACAAAGCTCTATGGCTAAGGGCTATTTTCTGTATAACCTTTGATGGTTAACTAATACAAACGCCTAATGTTTCTTAAGTGTGTACTATGCCCTCAAACATTGCTTCCTCATTGAAAAAGTACTAGTTAGTTCTACCTGGTTCTGGAAACTTGCAAATAAAAGTCTTGTCACTGCACTGAGACAGCCTGATCAGACAGGCTACATCAGACTCTCCGGAACAAAGAAGTTACAAACTAATACGCTGCAGGATCCACAGAAATGATGGGTATTATATGGCACTACGAGAAATTTATGATTTGAACTCTCTGTTATACTTCCACTTAGAATTAAACTCCTTTTTTGGGGAAAGTAGCTGTTCTGTGGTTAAATCTGCTTTTGTTCTAGACTTAAAAGAACTGAAGACTGCATTGATCCCTAGGAGGAATCACAATAAGCTACAAATGAACGCAGGCTTTAAAATGAATAATTTCTTAGTTTAGTAACATCCTGAGGCTTGAGACATAAGCAACGAGAATAACATTGCAAAACTTCAGAGGAGCAGATAACCTTGGAAATATATCACAACAGCATACAATTCCCTCTCAAGACTGTCTCTGGAAAACCTCTATGTCTGGGTTTCAGTGGGTCTTTGAAAAACAGTCTGGGTTGGCTCTCATCACGTCTTATGTGAAAGATTCTTCCACAGCCAGATCCAGGCTTTCTGACCCTGCTTTGTTTCTCATCTGGCTTCTACTCTATATAAAGAAAGTCCAACCAGGAACTGAAGTCTAACTACACATGCATGCTAACAGTACTCTTGGCAGATTTTGTGATGAAGGGGAAGGAAAAAAAAAAGAAAGAAAAAAAAAGAATCTTTCCAATGAAACAGGCACTGACAATCCATGACTATGGTGTATATTTCCCTGTTACAATGAAATGATCAACATACCTTAAAATCTGTTCATGACAGACAGATATTCTTTTCATAAATTTATGGAACGTGTGATCCCTGCTTTTGACTTCACTCTTCTCATATTTTTCATTGCCACCTTCACCTGCAAAACTATGGAGAAACAAGAAAATAAAATTTCCAACAAGATTTTCAGTACAACGTGTGTGCTGCAAATGAGCAGTGCTTTCTCTATATTCATGTTAAAGTATAATAAATACGCTGAAAAAATTATATACATTAAGTTAGATGGAACTCCAGTTACAGGATGTAGCTGACCATTTTGCTTCTAATTCTTTGGTATATCTGGTGACTTACAATCATTAAGAATGTTTCAAATTATCACATGAAATTCAAATCCACTAAACAATTACTTATACCTAACAATCCTTGCTTCAGAACCTCTAAGGAACATTTCTAGTTTTTAATTATGGTGCTGTGTCTTACGTTTTTTAATTAAGTTTAACTAAAGTTCTATGATTCTATTAAGGCCAACAAAACTCAATAGGAACACCACTAATAAAAAGCATTCCGTGCACATTCTGCAGTTAACTGTAGTTTTAGTGTTCAAGAAATTCAGTATAGCCCACAATTTAATCAGGGAAAGTCACTGTATATGTTAATACTAGTAAAAGAGACAGTGGTCTGGACATAAGTACTCATCTACGCTAACAATCAACACATTTGCAGTAACCATATTCAAAAGCTGTTTTGCAGACGACATCTTTAACAAAAGCTTTGTGACCTGTATGTTACCATCATCCCAGTCTCAAGTCAAAGTATAGCTCAATTCCCAAGTAGTTAAACTCTTAAAACATGCAAATGCAGTTTAAGTAAAGCTAGAGTGTTGAAAAGAAAAGTCAAAAGTCACAGCATAACTCATGCCACTTAGCATAAAGTGTGGTTCATGCCACATTTTAGAGGCTGAAGGTCTACTGCTACATCTGGAGCCCAAGGAGGTTCCAGTTGTTCAGCACTCGGAAATAGGCACATCTCCGAATAACTAAAAATTCCAAATTTTAACAAAACTGTGCTCATTGTTGTGATCTTCCTGCAAGGTACTACACACCATTGATTCCTGGTGGAGTCAGTTATGAACAAAAAGTACTTAGATTTACAGAGAATCTAACGTTTATCAGCCAGAACACAGGAAACTATGCAACCCCTTCAGCTTCAGCATGAAATCTAAACCTGTTCTCACCTTTCTGACATCAACCGTTCCAAATCAACACCCTCTCTCTGCTGATACTCCTTTAATAGCTCATCTGCATGATCTGTGTCAAGGAAACAAGTGTAGTCCTCCTCATCCACAACACTAATGTAATAGGGCTGGAACACAGGGGCTGAACTAGCCGCTACTGTTCCTTCCCTGATGGGAGCACACGTACTCAGGGGACCTGACACGTCTGTAGCTTCGGACAAGCGAAGCTGCTGGAACTGCGATGCACACTCCACCTCTCTGGATGAGGAGTTGCTCATCATCGCTTCATTTAAGCCAAGCAGCTGAAGGGATGTGTATGCAGGAGATTCTGCTTCATCACTGACTCCCCAGTCATCTGCTTCATCACACCAATCCTTAGCAGCAAAGTTAGATTCCTGTTTCTGAGGAAAAAAAAGGAAACATTTTCAAGATGTTTCACCACTCTAGTGCCCTTCAAATACAGTTTCCCAGTTATAACAGAAAAGAGAAATACATTCCCCAAACTAACGCTTAGCATTATTTTGCCCGTTCTCCCCACAATGCTGGGCACCACCATAACTATGTTTACTTTTCACAGCAGTGAACATATGTAGTTACAACAAAAGAAACCTCAGACCGGAAAAAAAGTCCCCAAAACGTACTTGCTTTTTGAATGGGCTTTGTACATTGTGTTGCAATACCTAGGCTGCTGGCATGACCATTGCCAGTTAGTTTTGGTATATTTATCCAAATCAGTTACAGCACCACAGACAAGCTCAAAAAGCAGAATGTGCAGGAAATATATACTACACATATATAAAATAAATCCATTGTTTAAAATTTTGATTTGTGGAGGCAAGAGGCTGGAGAAAGAAAGCAGGAAACAAGAAAAGTTTCACCATTTCTGTCAGAACCACATTCATCACAGATCCAAATTTCATTTCGCAAATGCAGCTGCGGAATAAACACACTTTCTGCCTGCATTGTTAGCTTGGAAGCCATCCTCCTCTTTCCATTTTTATAAGCCAACATGTAAAAATTTAACTTTGTAAGAGAAAATCCCAGAAATACATTAGCAATAATTGAATTAGATGAGCAATAATTAATGATAAAATAGAAAAGAAAGATAAAGGAAACACTATTAAAGATCCAAGCTTAAAGTAGCGTATTACAATAACATAAAGTTGAAAAATAACTTTTAGGTAGCTCAAGCAATAAACGTTTTAAGTGCTAACTTTGGCCATACTTCCACTTTAAAATGGCCCTAACGTGGAGCACTGGTAAGAAGCTAACCTTCTGGCAAATAAGATGTAGTTAGTGTTCACTGTGTCAAAAATTCCACGACCATGACTTTTCCACGTGGCCACACAGATGGCTCAAAAGAAGCACGTAGCGCAACCTACTGAAAAAGGTTATGGTTGCTTAAACAAGTATAGACACGAAGCTTGTCCAGCTCAACTGCAATTTTATTTTAAAACCTCCTCAGTACGGCACTTCGTTCATCAGGCTAAGACAGCAGGCAGGAACTAAGGAGGCAGTAAGCTAGCTGTACCTGCTTCACACTGCGATCTCGTGCTTCCTCTTCTTCTGTCTGCAGACACTGGGAGCGCAGCACCTTCCAGCTTCGGCGTCCCATATAAGAGAGAACAGGCGGCCGCGGGCAGTTAAGGGAGGCGGTTAATCGTGCTGGGGTGGCCTAGGCCCAGGCCCAGGCCCAGGCCCAGGCCCGGGCCCGGCTCGCCCCTCACCTCTGCGGCTTTCCCCAGCAGCCCTTCCCGGCGCAGGCAAAGACGTTGGCGACGCGGTGGTAGGGGGAGGCCTCCAGGGGACAGTACACCTGGAGCAGGGGCAGCAGCGCGGGCCCGCAGGCGCGG